TTCCATGACACTTATAGTTAATATTTTAATTTATCTTATAAAAAGAAAACTTTATCAACATTCACGATCTACCATTAGTTCATGGCCAAAGATATTATGTATGCATATATTCAAATGCCACAAAGAAGGTATATGAATATGTAGAAGTGTTACTACCAGAGATATCAGTGTGTTCTGATGGCATCACCGTTGACCAAAGCCCACCTTTACAAGGCAATGTATGGATTGGATGGAGAGAACAACATTACCAAGTGAGTGGTTATATTCTTGTTTGCCATTCGATGTCATATATCAGCTCAACACGATTGATGCTATACATTATCATCAACTACAATAAAAACAATCACATAACTACGTTTAAACATTAATCATTATATACATATATTTTTGTTTTCTACTTCAATACTTGTCTGTGTAGTCAGCTATATCTGAACTTGTTGTTAACTGGCAGTCATTTGTTGACGTAGAAGAGGAAGGCCGTACCACTCATCATTCAGGAATTCGAAAATACGAATGCGCTATTGGTGAGTATTTAGCTTCCGAGGTAAAGACATTTTCTGCCTAAATGTCATTCTTATTCGTAAAAGTATATTATGTGCTACCAACTCCAGTTTCAAATATTTCCTTAAAAATAAAACAGAAACGACAGTTATTACACACTCCTTTTCCTGTTTCAGGGTCTTCACCAGATGGAGTGGATGTACAGGAATTACAAACAGAGCTGTGGCTCATGGTTTAGATTTACAGGATGGATATACATATTACGCTACCGTAAAAGGTGACAATTAATTTGGTCTTACATGAACTTTAGCATAGCAATGTTTTACTGTGATTATTACACCACGTTTCTATCATTAAACAATCGCCAACTAAAATATATGTGTTTACGTTCTTTTAAGCAACCGATTTTGTGGGCCTCACCACTATATCTGTATCACCCGGAGTCACCATAGATACAACGCCACCACAGAAGACAGATGTGAAAATCAACATTGGCGGGTCTTTCCATGTTTCAACTTCATCTGTCAGTGCTAGTTGGCGAGGACTGTTTGTTGATTTAGAAAGTGGTAAGTGGACATGCAATGAATGTGATTATAAGCTTAAGAATATATTAGTCTTCATAGTTCGATGTTTATTACTCTTGTGTATTACATCATATAAATTGATTTCTTCGTTTTTATATATATATACAGGTATTTCTATATATGAATGGGCAGTTGGGTCACTCCCAGGTTTTGCAGATATTATGCCGTTTACTGTTATTAACTCCGAAGAAGGAACATCGGATGAAAACATTGACCTTGAATTAAAAGAAGGCCATGCGTATTATGTTTCAGTTAAGGTAAGAGCTATTTTAGACAAGCGTTGGGTATAGTTTATTACACACATGGGATATGCCGGATACATGTCCCCCTTACCGACCATGTTATACACATGTTTTTGTAATATTCCTGTATAAGTTGATAGTACTTGCGAATTGAATAATTGTACTGATTCTACTTTTTAGGCATACAATGGAGCTGGAATGTCAACCATGGCAACATCATGGGCCACTATTGTTGATGCGTCACCCCCAATTGCTGGTTATGTTTATGATGGAACTGTTTCTGCTGATCAAATTGACCTTGATGTTCAGGTAAATTATTTGTTATTGGCTGCGGCAAATATCAATTGCTTTAAAATAAATACAATGTATATTGAGTTAATATCTATTTTGTAAAATAACAGACGGATCTGAGCAGCTTAACGGCAAGGTGGACTGGTTTTAGTGATCCACATACTGGTATTGCTACATATACATGGGCAATTGGTACATGCAAAGTTTGTGATGATACAAGGGGAGAACAGTATGTTGGTGTAGTAACTGGTAAGTGACAATACAATACAATTCGACACGATTCAACACAGTACAATATGTATGCATATCAATTTTGCTCTAAACGCCACATATTTGTTTTGCTTAATTTCAGAGATGACAGCAGATAACCTAAATTTGAAACCTGGTTTCACGTATTATACGACCGTTATAGCTTGCAATGCTGCCAAGTTATGTACAACAGTGACGTCAGACGGTGTCCTGATAGATAACTCTCCCCCAGTCCGAGGCGCAGTGCATGACGGGATTAGTGGTCCTGACATTGCATATCAAACATCAAGGTATGATACTGATATGAGCGACATATCTATATATAATATTTCCAATTACTATAGAAACTCCATCCTGCATTGGTGGCACAAGTAGTCACCAAATTTAGATATTGTGCAAATTTCTTTAAACGTATACATCTCTAACAACAACAACAACAACAATTGGTTTCAAACAGATCAACAATGGCTGCACACTGGTACGGATTCCATGACCCACAGTCACAGATATCCCATTACGAATGGAGAGCAGGAACCACCGTTGGAGGAGAGGAAATTGTACCACCAACGACGCTGCATTTAACAGAGAAAGTGTTTATTTCCCACATGTCAAAAGATTTGCCCCTAAACACTATGATATATGTAACGGTGAGGGCGTACAACAAAGCAGGTGTGTTTTACGTGTGTGGCGTTCTGTGAAAGTAGTATTACACATTTACTGTAATCAAATAGTACGTAATAGCAATACATATATTTTGCTTCATTATATTTGCTAAATTCGTTCGTTGTTTTTACCATCCGATTAGGACTCTTTGTGGAAGCATCTTCAAACGGTTTTGCAGTTGATGAAACTCCTCCAAATATAACAACGCCTGCAGCCTTCGACGCAAGTCAGGGATCGTTCATGGACAACACTCAGGTATTGGCGTCGTTCTATTTTGTGGAATGCTCAATCTGTACTACTAACTCACGGTAACATTAACCGAAAATATGATTCTTCTCCTTCTCAATCAGACATGGCGATCCTTGATAAAAGTTACATGGGATGTCAGTGACCAAGAAAGCCATATTGATACACAGAGTGTCTCCATTTTCACACATCAACAGTCCGAGTTAGATATTGATCCAGTAAAGGTCAGTTAATGCTTATCACATGAATGTTATATCTACGAGATATGTGTAACGCTTTTGTTTTTATAATCGTATATACAAATAACATGTTTACCAATATAATTAATTGTAAACGGTTATCTGTTTCGATTATCTGTACATTGATTAGCATGAAAATATAGTTTAAGGGCACTGGATTTCAATGCCGACCTCATAGCGACATGTATAACGCGTACAAAATACACTGTTTGTACACAGGACATTTGCCATTGAATTATACATTAATGAGTTTTTTTTTCAGGTCAATGGTG